ATACTCCTGCGTGTCTTGTTTTTTGTTACCTTTCAAAGCTGTGGAAAAGCGAGGCACGACATCCTTCTCCTCCAGCCGCACGTTGCAGCCTGGTGTGTGCATGAACTCGTGTATGAGCTTGTCGCCAACTCATTCACTATGACGTACAAGCCGCACGCACGCACGCTAAAGCACCATCTTCTCTCTTGCCAATAAGCTGGGCTGCACCGTAAGTTGTGTGCAAGAAGGGGGGGGGGGGGGTAGGGGGGGGGCGAAGCCCCCCCCCCCTCCAGCCACACATTGCAGCCTGGTGTGTGCGTCAACTCGTGTATGAGCTTGTCGCCAACTAATTCACTATGACGTACATGCCGCACACACGCACGCTAAAGCACCATCTTCTCTCTTGCCAATAAGCTGGGCTGCGCCGTAAGTTGTGTGCAAGAAGGGGGGGGGGGGTAGGGGGGGGGCGAAGCCCCCCCCCCCTCCAGCCACACATTGCAGCCTGGTGTGTGCGTCAACTCGTGTATGAGCTTGTCGCCAACTAATTCACTATGACGTACATGCCGCACACACGCACGCTAAAGCACCATCTTCTCTCTTGCCAATAAGCTGGGCTGCGCACGTAAGTTGGGCGCTAGAAGGGGGGGAGGGGGTAAGGGGGGGGGGCGAAGCCCCCCCCCTCCAGCCGCACGTTGCAGCCTGGTGTGTGCGCCCATCTCGTGTCTGAGCATATTAACATACAATGTTGATGTAAAGAGTCTCGTTGAATTGCGATTCGTGGCGATTAGGCCAAAAACAAGAAAAACAAAAAATGTCATTTTGCTGCCGACGGGTTTCGAACCCGGGTCGCCCGCGCCAATCGCGACATGGCGGGGCACGCCTGGGGGGGGCCGTCGCAACTTGTGTGGGGCGTGGTGTAGAGTTTGGGTGTGATTTGGGTTTTGCGTGTTTCGTCCCTTGTTTGGTTTCCTTTGGGCATGTGTTCGATGAAGCGATTACTGTGGGAGTGCTTGCATGCATGCGTGCCTGAGTTGCACATGGGGTGAGGGGCGCGTAAAGCTGGAGTGCATGCATGCGTGTGCGGGTTGCACGGGACGAGGGGGCGAGTAAAGCGGGGGTGCTTGCATTCGTGTGTGGGTTGCAGGTTGTGAGGCGGTGAGTAAAGTTGTGGGGCTTGAAGGCGTGCATGTATGGGTTGCATGGGGCGTGCGTGTGTGGGTTGCTCGGGACGAGGGGGCACGTGAAGCAGGATGCATGGGGCGAGTAATGTGGGAGTGCTCATGCGTTCGGCTGCATGTGTCGAGAGGGCGCTTGAAGCGGGAATGTTGAGCGTGTGTGGGCCGCACGGGATGAGGGGGCATGTACTGTCAGAGTGCTGGCATGCGTGTGTGCGTGGGATGCATGGGGTGAATAGGCGAGTAAAGCGTGCATGCGTGTGGGGGCCACAAGGGGACGTGTAATGTGGGAGTGCTTGCATGCATGCGTGTCTGAGTTGCATGGGGCGAGGGGGCACTTGAAGAGGGGGTGCGTGCAAGCGTTCGTGAGTTGCACGGGACGAGGGGGCGAGTATTGTGAGAGTGCTGGCTTGCGCACGTGCGTGGGTTGCATGGGGTGAAAAGACGTGTGAAGCGGGAGTGCGTGCATGCGTGTGGGGGCTACAAGGGGCGCGGGGACGTGTAATGTGGGAGTGCTTCCATGCGTTTGGGTTTGAATTGCATGGGGCAATGGGGCGACTAATGTGGGAGTGCTTGCATGCATGCGTGTCTGAGTTGCATGGGGTGATGGGGTGTGTGAAGCAGGATTGCGTGCATGTGTATGCAGGTTGCACGGGGCAAGGGGACGATTATTGTTGGAGTGCTTGCATGCCTTCGTGCTCGGGTTGCATTGAGTGAGGGGACGAGTTGAGCTAGGGTGCTTGCATGCGTGTGTGGGCGGATTGGGGCGAGAGGGCGCTTTAAGCTGGAATGTGTGTGTGGGCTACAGGTGGTGAGGGGGTGAGTAAAGCGGGCTTGCTTTCATGTGTTGAGAAAACTGGCCGCGAGTAGGAACGTGCTTGCATGGGTGCGTATGTTGGTTGCATGGGGTGAGGGGGCGAGTACGGGGGTACTTGCATGCATGTGTGGGCTGCATGGGGAGGGAGGTGGGTAAAGTAAGAATGCGTGCATGTGTGTGTGTGTGTGTGGGGGGGGGGGGGGGGGTTGCATCGGTTGAGGAGACCAGTTAGCTGGGGTGCTGTCCCGAGCGAGCACGACGTCCCTCTCAATCACCCTGCCACTCGCTGTCCCTAATCTACAAGGCGCCCTGATGGATAGGACCCTCCTTCGGACGCGGCCAGCAATAAACAAGATGCTGCACCGCAGAAGGGTGCAAGGGAATGGGCGGGGGACAGGGGCGGAGGCAGGGGCGGGGCGGCAGTGTTTGTAAATGGCAAAGTAAGCGCGTGTTGGGGCGGGGAGGGGCGCACACTGATGGATAGGACTCTCCTTCGGCCGCGGCCAGCAATAAACAAGATGCTGCACCGCAGAAGGGTGCAAGGGCTGCGACACCAGCATGCTCACCTCGGGGCTGGGGCTCCTAGCCTGCTGGGGGACCTGTGGTCGGCGCCTCTTCGCTCGGTTCCACTGCCGCCCGGCTTGCTTGGCAGCGCGAAGGGAGGCCTGCATGTATGGAAGCAGAGTGCGGGAATGGGCGGGGGAGAGGGGTGGAGGCCGGGGCGGGGCGGCAGCATTTGTAAATGGCAAAGTAAGCGCGTGTTGGAGCGGGGAGGGGCGCACACTGATGGATAGGACACTCCTTCGGCCGCGGCCAGCAATAAACAAGATGCTGCACCGCAGAAGGGTGCGAGGGCTGCGACACCAGCATGCTCACCTCGGGGCTGGGGCTCCTAGCCTGCTGGGGGACCTGTGGTCGGCGCCTCTTTGCTCGGTTCCACTGCCGCCCGGCTTGGCAGCGCGAAGGGAGGCCTGCATGCATGGAAGCGGAGTGCGGGAATGGGCGGGGGAGAGGGGCGGAGGCTGGGGCGGGGTGGCAGCGTTTGTAAATGGCAAAGTAAGCGCGTGTTGGAGCGGGGAGGGGCGCACACTGATGGATAGGACACTCCTTCGGCCGCGGCCAGCAATAAACAAGATGCTGCACCGCAGAAGGGTGCGAGGGCTGCGACACCAGCATGCTCACCTCAGAGCTGGGGATCCTGCTGGGGGACCTGTGGTCGGCGCCGCTCCGTTTGGTTCCGCTGCCGCCCGGCTCAGCAGCGCGAAGGGAGGCCTGCATGCATGGAAGGGGAGTGCGGGAATGGGTGGGGGAGAGGGGCGGAGGCAGGGGCTGCTTCACCAGCGGAAATGCATTCACCCCCAATGTGACCAGGGAATCCTCATTGGGCTCCATATCCCATAAGCTTATATCTATATCTTCCTGCAAGGTTTGAAGTATCAATAGCCTCAATGGCGAAACAACACTTGTAACGGTCTTGATCTGGTAGGCTACATGCACTGGCATCTTAGCTCGAGTAGAGGACGCATGCTTACCTCCAGCATTACCCCATTTGAGAGTGTAGTACCCGTAGCCACGTCGACCGTGCCATGGCACATGTTTCCAGACCTCCAGTCGGTCCCAACGGCGGAGGTAGGCGCGTCCTAAGGGGGCGTGTAAAGGGGCGTACCTAGGTACCCATGCCTACAGTGGGTGGAAGGGATACGTTACAATGCATGCTCACCTGGTGGGCTGGGCTCGTGCATTGCTGTGAGTTTGCTGCTGCATGCAGACTGGGCAAGGTGTTGTTTGCGAGGAGGGTGCAGTTGCTGCGCCATGCATGCTGCTGGATGCACCACCCAATGTTTGCGCCCGAAGCGCCAGTGAAACCGTGGGAGTGAAGCGTCTGGTCTGGACACTACTGGCAGCCTGAGCTGTGTCGCTGCCTGCTGCGAGCACACCCTCCAGGTCCTGAAAGCAAGCATACAGCTTAAGCATACACCCTTGAACCGAGTGCCCTGGCTGCAACGTTTGCAACGGTATTCTTAGCTCACCTTCTTCTTCTTGACCCAGGGCTTCTGCAACCAGAAATAGTCGCCTACAGCGCCTATCTCGTGGCCCTTAGGCCTTGTCAGCTCTACAAGGTAACTAACAAAGAGGAGCTGAGCTGCTGGGGCGCGCTTCTCCTTCTCCTCCAAGTAGTTACCCACAAACACGTCACCGCCCTTGTGAAGAAACGACCTGAACGAGCTCAGAGAGCTGACGTGGGATCCTAGGAGCCCCAACAAGGAGCATTCCTGTAAAGCATGACGGGAGGAGCTTAGCAGACAGGACACACCCAGTGCTGCATTCCAGCAGACAGCTTGCCTTGTCGTCCACTGTTTTCAATTTCATGTTGTATAGGGTGCTCGGACTGGCATCGTCAGGAACATTTGCCTGCCAGCCATCGAATTGGAGCGTCGCTCCCCTCCTCTGAAGCGAGATAACAGCTACTGTGCGATATAGCTCAACACAGACCAAGCTTTTTTCCCTCGTATACTGTATCAGCGTCGCCTGAGCCCTAGAAGCGGCATTGCGAAAACGAGTAACACACGATTCGAACGATGAAGACTGAATATCAACTAAGTAAGATATGTAAAGTTCTTCTATTAGTTGCTTGCGTACACTCCCAGAAAGGCTCTTAGTTGAGATGGTGCTCAAACGCTTGAGATTGATTGAGTTGAGTCTACTTGAGCTTGGTTGAGGCTGCTCTCAAGTGGTTGAGTTACCATACTCTCAAGGAACCTCAACCAGAAAAAAGCCCCGCCCGGTGTAATTTGCTTCGTTGAGTATGTAAGACCTATTGAGCACAATTGCTCAAACAAAGTTAAGCTCAATATGACAATGAATGTATATATATAAACAGTTATGAGCTTGTCCTTAAAGGAACGATGCCCTAGTTACCCGGCTGTCCTTGGCCTATGACGGACTTAGTTTGAAAGCCGCCCCATGATCCATGTGTCCGCTACGTGCCTGCACAACATGCCCCGTTACTGGTAAGCCTTGCTCTTTTACTTCACACAACACACAACCTTCTTAAGCTCACGTTACATAGATACTGTCTCTCGTTACCGAAAGAACTGCCTCAATCACCTCGCTCTCCCAACACCTCGACTACTTCTTACAAGGCATTCCAACACTAGGAAACGAATTGCGATGAGTTAACTGTTATACGTTAAGAAGCGTGTGTGATGTCGAACACCAAGCCACCATGGCCGCGTCTGCTTCGCGACAGGCTCGCTGCTCAGCATGCAGATGGCTCATTCTCGTGTACTCAATGCAATAGTATTTCACAGCAAGCATCTTTACAAGCACAAGTGTTCCCTAGTCCACGTGCCGCTGGAGCCGTCATGTGTGGACAGCGACCTAACATGCAACACAGATTATGCTTCCTGCTTGGATTTACTAGGCGATGCAGTCGCAGATAAGCTTCTTGCATACCAACGTGACCTGGCGCAACGCTCAGTCCCGATGATGGCGCGCACCAAAGACCTCAGGGCCGTGCTCATACAGCTGCGCATACCATTTGCCGATGCTGTTTTCCCACAAGGTGAAACGACTAGTACATCCGCTCTGTTACTCTTTACGGTTTTGCGCCGTGCTTCAACTCCATTCCTTATGTGTTTCCACAGGCCAACCCTCCCCGCCGCCTGTTGCTGACAACTCGCCTCTTCCTAACAGCCCCATGCTAGTGGAGACACGCTCCCCGCAGTCCCAGCCTTCACCGATGGACGTCAACAGCCCAGAGGTAGAAATGCGCTCTCCCGCTAGCGACCCATCCAGCAGTGCGTCCCCCAACGTCTCATCCACGTCTAATAACGGAAGCGAGGCCGAAAGCAGTGGTTATGACGACCACGGTGAGTGCGACTGGTACTGTACATGTCTTCCTTGCAACTCGGGCACCTTTATTTCCCATGCATGCATCATGTCCCTTGCGAACTCCTGCCCTTACCGTTCGAAACTGCTGTGGCAATGCACCATAGGACCTAACCTCCCCTTACCGTATGTGCCCTCCAACAGGGGCAAGCCATTCTACTGTTAGCGACAGCGTCGACGGGGATGGCAGCGAGGATGGCTCGCATGGCCGCAGCAGTCCCGGTAGCATGCAAGGAGGTAAGGAACAGCCAGTGCGGTTTTGAACTAGGACGTGTCTCGTCTCCATGCTCGTAGAATCTCATGGCATTGTCGTACTTAGCAGGAGCTAGCCATTCCACGGGTACCAGCGGCGGCAGCGGCAGCAGAGGTGGCGACAGTGGGCCGGACTCACTCCATGACGACAGCTTGCTTGGCGGTGCCAGCGATGGTGGGGATGGCAGTGATGGCCGCAGCGACCATGCTGCTAGCATGCTGGATGGTAAGTGGTCATACTCCGGTGCCTGTCGGGTTCATCCTCTTTACGTGTTCAACGTAACCCGTGTTTCCTACATGTCCAGAGGATGACCCGAACACGCTGCCTGGAGAAGACCTCCTCGACCAAACCGGAACTGACGACGACGGTAGGAAACCAATACCCATCGCATCCGCACCTCCATGCCTATGTACGCCATGAAGCCGTACTCTCAAACAGCCGTTCTCCTGTGACCGCAAGTTACTGACACCTAATTCTCACACACATTAACACGTCGCAGGTCTTTCTTCCGTCAGCAACAAGTCGGACGACCTCAACCTGCCAGGCGAGGTCGACCCTTACGCGTACATTCGCAGTAAGTTCACGTGCAAACCATGTGTCAGGGGGCATTGCAACCGTTCTAGTCCAAGTCGAATTGCTCAGTGTCGTACTTATTTTCCAAGCCCTTGCCTGCGTGTACCCAATTCCGTCCTAAGCAACCTGTTCCCACGACCGCAGGGATTCTGGGTCTTGATCATGCGCTGGAGGCGGGGGCTGGCATCGAAACCCACCCCGCGGCTGCAGCCACTGGAGGGGACCGCTGTGCGTGTGGTTGCGGCGGCCCACCAATTAAGCCAGGCGGCATCAGCTGGTTCCGCCACGGCCTCGGTCTCCCCGTTTGCAAGGGTGTCGATAGAGACGGTGCGCCGAACCCTAGTACCGTAACTACCCGCGAGTTCGTCGCGGCTCTCCTGCAATTCCATATGCGGAACCACATTCCCACAACGGTCATGGAGACCTTGCTACGCTTGTTTGCTAGCGTGGTCCCCGGTCCGCACTTCATTCCTCCTTCACTGTACATGCTGTCACAGCTAGCCGGTGTCCCTGACTGGCACCAGTTCCAGCAGCACCTCTGCTCGACCGAGGGTTGCCCTGGCCATGTATTTGAGCCAGAGCCAGATCCCGCCAAGTGGGAGCAGCTACGTGACGAGTGCTGCCCACACTGCCAGACACCGCGCTTCAAGTCCGTTTACGTTGGAGGTGAGCATAGTTCGGCTGTTTCAGACTCGTATACTGATCTCCAGCACCAGCAGGCCTCTTGCCCCCTGCTTCGTACCCTGCTGTTTGCTCACCGGGAACTATGGCGAACCCGTGCCTGCTTACCTACTGCAGGCAAGGAGCGTCTTGAACCCCGGCGGTGGTCCATCGACTTCGGCCTGGAAAATGTTATCCGCGAGCAGTTTTTCCAGTCCGAGCTGTACAACCAGCAGCGCGGGCGATGCCGGGATTGCGGAGAGGACAGCAATGGCAGCAGCTACTACAACGGTCAGTCCCTAAGCGACTCCAATGCATTGTATGCATCGGTGCCTTCAACCCTACCCTAGGCTTAGCTCGCATGAATCGTAACATGCACGCAATGCTACATGCATGCAACACTACATGCGCCTCTGCCCTTGTCGTTGCGCCTAGTTGTGACGCAGCTGTGTCCCTCGGTGCTGTATCCCCACCCTTTACAGCTCCGGCCTTTCGTAAACTGGCTCTCGCCACCGACCACGAGGCCCAGAAGGCGACGGCCTCGACCTATGACCTGTTCTTTGACTTCCTAGAGCCCTTTAAGGGGAGTCCTTACTCGGTCGGAGTGCTTGCGGTTCGTGCGTGTGATGTGGCTGCCAGGGACAAGGGGAAGTCGCAGTTTGTAGCCATATTATCCATCATACCCGGCCCCAGGCAGCCTCCCGTACTCACTCCCTACCTCACTCCCACAATAGACGCGTTCCGCCATCTATTGACAAACGGGATGGGCGTCACGCAGTCCTGGCGAGACAAGCTCAGCGGTAATGTCGTCAGCGAGTCATTCGTACACAGGGGCTTTCTATCCGCCATACTTTCTATTTGCGACACTTGAGGCGCTGTTGAGTTTGGTTGACCGGTTATTGAGTCCGCTATTGAGGCGTACGTTTGAGCAACGGTTGAGTTTGGTTGACCCGTTATTGAGTACGATAATGAGGCGTTCGTTTGAGCTACGGTTGAGTTTGGTTGACCGGTTATTGAGTACGATGTTGAGGAGTCCTATTGAGCGAGGGTTCAATTTGGTTGACCCGTAATTGAGTCTGCTATTGAGTCTACATTGAGTCGCCTAATTGAGCATGTAATCTCAATATGACATCTCAACAATTCCGGTCACTTTGTTAAATCTGGGACTCAATAAGGGGGTCAATTACACTCAATCTAACTCAATCTAACCCTTTCTGGGAGTGGTATATTACATGTCAACGTATCAGGGGTTCATTCTGTGTCGTTCGAATCAGAGGACACTGCATGAAGTTAACGTCCTGAGGCAACACACGATGTATGAAATTGGCAGAACTCTTAGATGCTTTTTTGGTGGAAGGCTCAATACGGCAGGTTGAGCTTGTACGGCGTAACTCGGGTGACGCAGTACAGGACTTTTCAAATGCAAGAACTAGAGGCTAGAGTATGCAATAAAAGCATTTCAACCTCGACTATAGATACTTCTTTCGTTGACGAATTCATGTAGTATGTCCAAATGCCGCGGCGCTTAGGTCAGACATGGGCATTGCCTGCCACAAGTGGGCCCGCCACTTCCGCTTGGCAGGCTTGGCTGCTGGCAGGCCTTGTGGTTTCCTGATATTTGCAGTAACAAGTAATGCAAATGCGGTAGCCGTGACAACTAAGTATTGCTTGTGCAAGCGATGTGTAAATGGAGTGGTCGATCGAAAGGCCGTGAAGCTCAGGTCAAACAGAATGGTTTGTAACCACCTCAAGAGAAATGGTTGCTACGATCCACGTTACAAAAGGATGGAAAGCAGCACCTCGGCTGAAGAGGTCCGAGCCCGTTGTTTTCAAATTTGTCATGGTAAGTACCAAACAACACCAGCATGCAACTTGCTATCGTTTCTTACATGCTTGCTCGCTCATTTGGCAAATGCGGTGGCCCAACATCTTCACGTAGACACTGCCATTGACTCCTTTGGCTCGCCCTGTCCTTATATTGGCTAGATATACTTGTATCCATGTGCATGTGACTCAATTATGACTTTCTAAATCAACAATGTATGTAAATATTCTCAGACCCAAGCTGGGCTTACAACTTAGGCTGCAACTTGCGGCTGGAGGGGGGGGGCTGCGCCCCCCCCCCTACCCCCCCCCCCCCCCTCCTTAGCGTCCAGCGTAATCGTGCAGCTGGCGACAAGCTAAGACCAGCCGCAGCCCGGCTTATTGGCCAACGAAAGGCTAATGTTGTAGCGTGCGTGCGGCTGGCTCGTTATCGCGCATCAGTTGGCGACAAGCAAAGACCCAAGCTGGGCTTACAACGTAGGCTGCAACTTGCGGCTGGAGGGGGGGGGCTGCGCCCCCCCCCTAACCCCCCCCCCTTCTAGCGTCCAGCTTCATCGTGCAGCTGGGCTTATTAGCAGACGAAAGCTTGGTGCTTTAGCGTGCTTGCGGCTGGCACGCTATAGCGCCTTGGTTGGCGACAAGCAAAGACCAGCCGCAGCCCGGCTTATTGGCAAACGAAAGGCTGGTGTTTTAGCGTGCGTGCGGCTGGCTCGTTATAGCCATCAGTTGGCGACAAGCAAAGACCCAAGCTGGGCTTACAACGTAGGCTGCAACTTGCGGCTGGAGGGGGGGGGCTGCGCCCCCCCCCTAACCCCCCCCCCCTTCTAGCGTCCAGCTTCATCGTGCAGCTGGGCTTATTAGCAGACGAAAGCTTGGTGCTTTAGCGTGCTTGCGGCTGGCACGCTATAGCGCCTTGGTTGGCGACAAGCAAAGACCAGCCGCAGCCCGGCTTATTGGCAAACGAAAGGCTGGTGTTTTAGCGTGCGTGCGGCTGGCACGTTATAGCCATCAGTTGGCGACAAGCAAAGACCCAAGCTGGGCTTACAACGTAGGCTGCAACTTGCGGCTGGAGGGGGGGGGCACGTTGCAGCCTGGTGTGTGCGCCCAACTCGTGTATGAGCTTGTCGCCAACTAATTCACTATGACGTACAAGCCGCACGCACGCACGCTAAAGCACCATCTTCTCTCTTGCCAATAAGCTGGGCTGCGCACGTAAGTTGTGTGCAAGAAGGGGGGGGGGGGGGTTAGGGGGGGGGTTAGGGGGGGGGCGAAGCCCCCCCCCCCCCTCCCAGCCGCACGTTGCAGCCTGGTGTGTGCGCCCATCTCGTGTCTGAGCATATTAACATGTTGATGTAAAGAGTCGATAACGTAATTTGATAACGTAATTTGGTCGTTTGCGGCACGTATGGCAGTCAGTGTGAGACATCATTGTCAATGCTGGACTGCAAGCAGAAGTGTGAATGCCGTACCAGAAAAGCGACATCAGATGTCGTCTTTTAGGAGGACATTGTTTGCCGAGTTATGCCAACAGCACAACCAGCTATGATACTCCTGCGAGTTTTTTTGTTACCTTCAAGGCTGTGGTAAAGCGAGGAGCGCATTCCTTTTTCCTTACACCCTTGCACTACTTAAGCCCACAACCTCAGGCATATCGTGTATCGTGTATTGTGATATTGTCCAGCCACCCCAACAATCAGAGAACTGAGAAGGGTGCACGCAACAGTCGGAAACTTGCGGCTGGGGGGGGGGGGGGCTTTTTACCCCCCCATACCCCCCCCCCCGGGCCCTTCACTGTCCTTTGCTTGTTGCCATTTCATTCGCTATGACGTACAAGCCGCACGCAGAATGGGCGAGTAGTGTGGCATTGCTTGCATGCATGCGTGTCTGAGTTGCATGGTGCGAGGGGGCGCTTGAGGCGGGTGTGCGTGCATGCGTGTGTGGGTTGCACGGGACGGGGGCGTGTACTGTGAGAGTGCTGGCATGTGCGCGTGCGTAAGTTGCATGAGGCAAAGGGGCGTGTAAAGCGGGGGTGCCTGCATGCGTGTGGGGCTAAATGGGGCGAGAGGGCGCTATAAGCTGGAATGTGGGCATGTGTGTGTGTGGGTTGCAGGTGGTGAGGGGGTGAGTAAAGCGGGCTTGCTTGCATGTGTTGAGAAAACTGGCCGCGAGTAGGAACGTGCTTGCATGGGTGCGTATGTTGGTTGCATGGGGTGAGGGGGCGAGTACGGGGGTACTTGCATGCGTGTGGGAGCTGCATGGGGAAGGGGGGGGGGGGTAAAGCAAGAATGTGTGCATGTGTGGGGGGGTTGCATCGGTTGAGGAGCCCAGTTAGCTGGGGTGCTGTCCCGCGCACGACGTCCCTCTTAATCACCCTGCCGCTCACAGCCCTTTCCTCGATGTCCCTAATCTATAAGGCGCTCCTTGCACTCGTCCTTCCGCATGTACCGGTCCTCCCAAGGGCTTCCCAGCACACAGCGCGCCTCACACGTGCACTTACTCACACAGTGCCTCCAACTTGGTCTCTTCCACCTTATACGGCCAACTGGCTTCTGACAGCGTAACAATGCTAACGTATTTCTTTAAATGTTTCGCTGGACATACTTGTATCAGTGACTCCATCCCTGGGAGTCGGGCTGAATCGCACTCGCCTGTGGTGCTCTTCGGCGTGGGCCTCCTACGTTACTTCGGCGCTACAAAGCAAGGTTACCGAATTTTGCAGCTTGATAACGTATTCTGGTCCTTTGCGACACGCATGGCAGTCAGTGTTAGACACCGTTGTCATTGCTGGACTGCAAGCAGCCACTTTAATCCATTATACCATTAGACTGTATAAATGCTATGTAAAACGCCTTTGTTTTTTATGTGGATGTAGTGGTTGTCGAAAGTACCTTTCGCATTGAGGTGTGTGAAGGTCTGGTTTGCCGTTCAATCGTCTGTACCCAAGCTATGGCGTGAATGTGAATACTTACCGTTCTCTTCTTCGGCCACTCAACATTGTCGCTGGAGTATAAGGGCATGTAGTTAGAATGCCGTACTAGAAAAGCGACGTCAGACGTCGTCTTTTTGAAGGGCATCATTTGCCGAGTTATGTTAACAGCACAACCACCATTGATACTCCTGCGTGTCTTGTTTTTTGTTACCTTTCAAAGCTGTGGAAAAGCGAGGCACGACATCCTTCTCCTCCAGCCGCAAGTTGCAGCCTGGTGTGTGCGCCCAACTCGTGTATGAGCTTGTCGCCAAACTAATTCACTATGACGTACATGCCGCACGCACGCTAAAGCACCATCTTCTCTCTTGCCAATAAGCTGGGCTGCGCCGTAAGTTGGGCGCTAGAAGGGGGGGGGGTTAGGGGGGGGGGCGAAGCTGCCCCCCCTCCAGCTGCACGTTGCAGCCTGTTGTGTACGCCGAAGTCGTGTATGAGCTTGTCGCCAACTAATTCACTATGAGGTACAAGCCGCACGCACGCACGCTAAAGCACCATCTTCTCTCTTGCCAATAAGCTGGGCTGCGCACGTAAGTCGGGCGCTAGAAGGGGGGGGTTAGGGGGGGGGGGAAATTATAAATAAATGCAACAGGAGGGGGGGGGGGGCGTTCGCCCCCCCCCCCTCCAGCCGCACGTTGCAGCCTGGTGTGTGCATGAACTCGTGTATGAGCTTGTCGCCAACTCATTCACTATGACGTACAAGCCGCACGCACGCACGCTAAAGCACCACCTTCTCTCTTGCCAATAAGCTGGGCTGCGCCGTAAGTTGGGCGCTAGAAGGGGGGGGGGGTAGGGGGGGGGGGGGGGGGGGGTAGCCCCCCCCTCCAGCCGCACGTTGCAGCCTGGTGTGTGCGCCCAACTTGTGTATGAGCTTGTCGCCAACTAATTCACTATGACGTACAAGCCGCACGCACGCACGCTAAAGCACCATCTTCTCTCTTGCCAATAAGCTGGGCTGCGCCGTAAGTTGTGTGCAAGAAGGGGGGGGGGGGGTAGGGGGGGGGCGAAGCCCCCCCCCCCTCCAGCCACACATTGCAGCCTGGTGTGTGCGTCAACTCGTGTATGAGCTTGTCGCCAACTAATTCACTATGACGTACATGCCGCACACACGCACGCTAAAGCACCATCTTCTCTCTTGCCAATAAGCTGGGCTGCGCACGTAAGTTGGGCGCTAGAAGGGGGGGAGGGGGTAAGGGGGGGGGCGAAGCCCCCCCCCTCCAGCCGCACGTTGCAGCCTGGTGTGTGCGCCCATCTCGTGTCTGAGCATATTAACATACAATGTTGATGTAAAGAGTCTCGTTGAATTGCGATTCGTGGCGATTAGGCCAAAAACAAGAAAAACGAAAAATGTCATTTTGCTGCCGACGGGGTTCGAACCCGGGTCGCCCGCGCCAATCGCGATTTTTTGGAGCGCTATCCGCGCTAAGGACGTTACCAATTTTTGGTAGTTACGAACCCCCCCCCTCTCTATTGGGCCCTTTCCTACGCTAACTTCGCTAGCTCCGGACTCCGTCTACGACGTCGCCCTACGACGTCGCTACATTGCTCCGGCGACGAACCCCCCCCCTCTCTATTGGGCCCTTTCCTACGCTAACTTCGCTAGCTCCGGACTCCGTCTACAACGTCGCCCTA